AGCAAATGGGCTTGCTTTCCTGTGGGTTTGTGTGAGGCTATAATGATTTTTATTTTATTTTTTATATACAAGGGACGGGATATTGGGGAGAGAGGAATCGAACTTAAAGTGATTATATGGAGAATCACATGGGAGGTGGTTCTCCCCAAAAGTGATTCTGGCCTATCTAGAATTACTTCCAAACGAGCCCTTAGAATATCAAATATAGGGTTAAATGCTTTTAACCACTTTCAAAATGTTCTCATAAAGATGTATATAAAAGGAAGATGAAAATCTGTATTGTGTCTAATTGCATGTTCCTTCATTAATTAAATTATCCACTCTTTTTAAACAATTAGTTTTTTCAATATATATTTGCATTTGTGTGTCACATAAGAATGCAAAACTCCATTATTAAATTAAAATATTGGAGGAAACATACTTCTAGAAATCATATTGAAATTCCTTATAGTGGTAATTCTATACTTACTCTCACTCAAGCCTCAAGCAATCAAATGCTAATTAATCATTATATGTGAAGGATATCATTCTCACTCGTTCAAGTTCATCTTTGTTTTAGTATGTTAAAAGATAAACTTGCTGGTGATTTCTTTGTGTTTAGTATCTTTGAATCATGCACAAATTCAAACATTACCCCATTACTCTATACATTATGTACTGCTAAGAGTCTGAAAAATGTGTATATTAATTATGCAAGTACAACAGAAAAATCAATGGCTTAAGAAACTTTTAATTTATACATATGCCTTGAAATAAGTGTATTAATTAGAAGCGTCTTGATCATCATGTACATCAGCTAATTTATTTGTCAATATTTAAAATTTCTCCGCTATTGTAATTAGTAGCAAAGCAAGAAATTTTATTAAAGAGGGTCAACCTTAAATAGTGAGTGAGAATTTTGCCTAATTGATTGGCTCATTCGATTAAAGAAATCACGAGAAATCTTAGGAATTATGAGGTGTGTTTATGTGATGTTGTGTTCGAAAAAAGATACTACTAGAGCCAAGAGGGATTTTGTAGTGTACTTGGTTAATTGTTATAGTCCAGCGATTTAAATAGTAAACAAAGAAAAGGAGAAAGGGAGAAAGTGAGTAAACTCAAAAGATGAGAAGGGTCAGCCATGTAATATAGAAAGTAATTGAGTCAAATGCAATACATACATAAACAAATTATCAAAGAGTTAGAAGGGTCGAGTGACCTTTGTGGGCCTAATTGGCTCCGCCCATAATTGTAATGACTTTTGTAACTAGTTTATATTGTCATTTGTGACTAGTGACTTTTTTGGCTAAATCATAAATGCAATTCTATAATTTCACAATATATATATATATATAAAGCATTCACAACGCCTAAATCGTCATCATGTACATCATTTAATTATATCTAGAAGATGAAAGACAAAAGGGTGATCAAATTTAATTAAGCTAAAATAAAGTAGTGGGGATTATTACATAACATATATAGCTAGCTTAGCTTCCACTTATATATTGGCTACCATTGTAACTCTTATATCCTAGACATAAATCAATCTATTTTTAAACTATTATCAAAAACCCAAATTTAAATATAGGTTAATAGTTGTCATAATATTATAAAATATTTATACACTATGCCATCTACCAACTTGTCAAATTCCTTATGTTTAGCATTTATATTTAACTGTTTTTAGTTAGGCACCTATTTAATATTGAAATGTTTTGACAAAAAATAAATTAATGAATACATAAATAACAATGTAATACATACAGTACAGTAATATACTACCTAAATCATAACAATATTATAGCTAAACAATGATAATATATACCTATTACAAGTTAATCTTTTTTGTCTAAAAGTATATTGATTAGGTAATTGTCTATTGGAAAATTATGGCGATACATGCAAAAAATAATTTACCTACATATCTAATACAAGATAGGTAAATAGATAGATACAAATTTATGTATAAAATAAGGTACATTATTTGTATAGAAAAATAGGTAAATTAAATCGAAAATCAAAGATAATAGGTACATTATTAATATTTATAAAAGATAATAGATAAATTATTATTTATAAAAGATAATAGGTATATGGAAATCAACCCCATCATTAAAACGAATAATTAATTGCAGACAAAAATTCTAGTGGGGATCATTAGGGGTGGGCATTCAAACTGGTGAACCGGAAATCCAAGCCAAACTGCACCGAACCAAACCGAAAAAAAATCGAGTTGACCAAAAAGTCAACAACGGGTCAAAAACTGAACTGGACCGATTTTGGTTTCGATTCTATGTCTTCAAAAACGGACCAGGCCGAACCGAACCGGTCAAATTAAAAAGTATAAAATTTCAATATTTATTTATATTCAATGCTATATTTTTAATCTCATAATTAATATTTATCCAAGTTCAATTTCAAAATATCTCTCTTTTCTAGCTTTAATATTTATTTTTATATGAAATTAAATAATTTGTTAATTTTCAAGTCAAAAAAAGAAAATTTCAGTTAAAAATTGTATCAAAAAATAATTTTTATAATCCGGTTCAAAATTGAACCGAACTGGAACTGATTCAACCAGAACCGGACAGTTTTTGAATTTTTTTTAATTAAAATCGAACCGAACCAAATTGGATGAATAGTACCGAATCGATTCTAATTTGAGGCAAAAATCGATCCAAACCGAACCCTGCCCACCCCTAGGGATCACCACAATAAAGTGGGGAATGAAAAATTAAAACGCCACCACATAACACGTTGAATTGTAAATAAGGGTATTTTGGGAATTTAAACATTATAATAAATCAGATATTGAGCTTAATGAGGTAACTTGATGAGTTGGATCCTAATCATGGGTTTTTAATTATCAAAATTGGGTTTTATTAATATGAACAAAAAGTGATGAATTGCGGGTAATGAAAATTCAATTTGGAGGGGATAAGCCAAATTTACTACTTATATTATACATAATGGATAAACTTTATTTTTATGCCTTACCTACAGCTTCTTTCTCATCAACAACTGAGGTTGGTTGAGGGTGCACTTTATCCTATGCTTTACTTAATTAGCAAGTAACACACTACCCAAAAATAGAAGGGGCACACATACACATAGAATGGCAATCTGAGTTGTACTAGCATGGGCCGCCTCTATAATGCTTGTCTTACTAGATATTATTATTCTCCCATCCATCAAAGCCATTGGAATAAGCCCCGACGTCAAAACGCATCGTGGTCAGTTCATTATCGATCTGGCGGCGCGCAAAGGGAGATGAAGCAGAACTTAGTAAGATGGCCCCATTAAGCACCGTCACCACCTATGTAAGCTTCCTATACTCTCCATGAGATCCATGCGTGACAATAAATGTGGTCGAGGTGTCCAAAAATGAACATATATAGCAAGTTGATCGATCATGCATGCTTCCAACACATATGGTGGTAACTAGTGTTACAACTCTAACTTGCATGCATACATTATGGGGTTTTTGCTTTGTAAGTATATGCAGGGGCAGATCCATAGAGAAGCTATGGTTAATTGACCCCCACAACCTCTGGAATCCCCCATTAAAGGGGAAAAACTTGACCCTCGCAAACTGTTAGATGAAAGGCCCCAAAGGGCACGCATCGTAGGCTGTTCCTTCCTTTAGAGCGCAGCACCTTTTTATATATATATAAACCAGGCAAAACGACGTCGTTTTGGCATAGGTTTAAACAAAATTTAAATAATAATAAAAAAGGCAGTAATTGATGCCCGATATTTAAGCTCCCCCAAATGAGTTTGAACTCATTTCTTCAATTCTCAACCCTAAACGACCAAACCCCTAAACCTATTAAACCATCCTTCACCCAATTTGATGGCAGCTTCCCCTACAAATCTGACGCCGGCGGCGACATCCTCATAGTGGCGGTGGCAGCAGCATCAGCAAAGTAAAAAATTCATCCCCAAAATCAATTTGATTTCAAAGATGTATTTGTCCCGCAAATTTGAAAGTATGTTATCCAATCTCATTATGCTTTATTTAATTAATAAAGATTCTTATATGGTTTTGTTTTTCTTGATTAGTTGTTGTTGATGAGGTTTTATTTTGGTTAGTTAATTTGAATAAATTAGGGTTTTATGTTAGATTATATCCTAAATTTAATTGGTTGTTGAGATTTTATTTTGGTTAGTTTGAATAAATTTGGGGTTTTTGAATAGATTGTAATTGTATTTGTTAGTTTTTATGCTTTAATTAGATTGTATCTTCTTGGAAAATTGGATTAGTTTTTATCTATTCAATTGGTTGGTGGATTGGTTGTTGATGCTTGATTGGTTATTTCTACCAATACAGTTATAAAACGATACCTCAAGAGAAAGTTATCATTAACTACTTCTAGTTTGGATAATGTGGGCAATTCAAGTTCGAGAGATGTGGGTATTTCTAGAGATGTGGATAGTTCAAAAGAAAGTGAATTGCATATGTCATTGCTAATCTTCCTGTAGACCTTGGACTTCGACCTCAAATGTTGGATTATAATCCTAACATTTGAGACGAAGTTCGAAGAGCATATCTACAAAAGAGTATATGTTAGCCTAAGGATTGCATATTTCCACAAACCGATCTTTCAGGATATGATCGACGATTTAATGTCAAGTGGTTAGATGAGTTTGACTGGTTGGAGTATAGTATAAGTAAAGATGCTTCATTTTACCTTTATTGTTATCCCTTCAAATCCAATTTCAAAATTGGTCAAGGGTGTAGCAATGCCTTCACAAAGATGAGTTTCAGAAATTGGAAGAAAAAAGATAAAAGTAGGCAACATGTTGGAGGTGCTGGAAGTGTTCATAATCAATCTAGACAATATTGTTTGGATCTTATGAATCAGAACCAACATATTCAAATAGTTTTGAAAAAACAATCAGACCAAACTCATATTGATTATCACATTTGCTAGACATCTTATCTTGATTGCGTGAGATTTTTGTTGAAGCAAGGTCTTCTTTTTTGTGGCCATGATGAGAGTGACACTTCAAAAAACATGAGGAATTATTTGGAGCTCTTACAATTTCTTACTGGTCATGATGAGAAAGTTAAGGCCATTGTGTTAGAAAATGCTCAAGGGAATCTCAAGCTAATAGCTTCAACAATTCAAAAAGATATTGTGAATGCTTGTGCCACTGAAACTATTAAGAAAATCATTAAGGATATGGATGATGCATTCTTCTCTTTATTAGTTGATGGATCACCTGATGTGTTAGTAAAAGAACAGATGACGGTGATGTTTCGTTATGTGGGCAAAAGTGGGAATGTAATTTAAAGGTTTGTGGGCATTCAACGTGTTGGCAACACTACATCGAACTCACCAAATGAGGCTACTGACACATTATTTTCAAGAGAGGAATTAAGTATTTCCATGCTAATAGGACAAGGATCTGATGGAGCTAGTAATATGAATGGTGAGTTCAATGGTCTTTAAAACACATATTTTGAGAGAAAATCATTGTGCCTATTATATTCATTATTTTGCACATCAACTTCAATTAGCTCTTGTGGTCGTGGCAAAGGAAAATGCTGATATTGCCACTTTCTTCACATCTTGCAATAGGTTGATTGATATTGTCAGAGTATCGTGTAAGCGTCGTGACATGCTTAGAGATCAACTACAAAAGGATATTACGAAAGCTCTTGAAAAATATACTCTTCCAACATGGCAGGGCTTAAATCAAGAAACTCCTCCCAAGTGTCCTGGTGATACACGTTGGAACTCACATTATAGTACATTACTCAGTATTATTTCCATGTTCAAATCTGTGGTGAAAGTGCTTAAATTGATTATTGAGGATGGCTTCACTGATAATATAGGTGAAGTAAATAGGTCATTGAGAGAAATACAATCTTTTGAGTTTGTATTTCACATATTTTTCATGAGATCTATATTGGAAGCCACAAATGATTTGTCACAAGCATTACAAAGAAAAGACCAATATATTGGGAATGCAATGACTTTAGTCAAAGATTCTAAGGACCAACTACAACACATGAGAGAGAATGCATTTGAAGCCTTGCTTGATCAAGTATCTTCCTTTTGTGGCAAACATGATACTAAGGTTTCAAACATGGATGATGCATATGTAGCTTAATAGAGATCACATTGGAGAGCTCTTAGAATAACACACCTCCATCATTATCTTGTGGACATCGTTATTCGAATCATTAAGTGGCAACTTGTAGAATTAAATTATCGCTTCAGTGAGGTAAATACTGAGTTGCTTCTTTGTTTGACATGTTTGAGTCCGAATGATTCATTCATAGTTTTTGACAAACAAAAGCTACTTCGTTTTGCTGAATTTTATCATCAAGATTTTATTCCCCGAGACCTCTTGGCACTCGAAGATCAACTTGGAATTTATATTCATCATATGCGTACGAGGAGTAATTTTTCTCAATTGCAAGGGATTGATAGCCTTGCAAGAAAAATGGTAGAGAAATGGTTGCATAGAACATTTAATTATATTTATTTGCTTCTCACATTAGTCATAACTCTACCGGTTGCAACTGCTTATTTAGAGAGAGCATTTTATGCGATGAATATTGTGAAAGGTCCACTTCGCAACTGAATAGGAGATCAATGGTTGAGTGATTGCTTACATGTTTATATTAAGAACGATGTTCTACTTGTATTGATAACGAAACTATAATGTGATGTTTTTATAATATGAAAACTCGTCGTGGACAATTATAATGTGGTTTTTTCAATTAATTAGGAATTATAATATTATCATTTCATTTTTTAGTTCATTTTGATAGAAATTTGTTAACCTTTTAGACGTTGATCCTTGGAAGGAAAATTCCTGGATTCGCTACTGAGTACATGCATGCAGTGGTGGACTCATAGAGGCGCAAAAAGGTGCAGTTGCACCTCTTCTCTCCTAAAAATACCATAGAAGTCAATCATCTTAATCTCTTAGGCTGCTGGGTGGTTGGCCAAGAATGCCCACAACATGTTTGTGGAAATACCAGTGTAACATCTAGGAAAATTTTTTATAAAAAAAGATAATAATAAAATATATTTATTTAACCTTAATTATGAGTTTAAAATAAAATTTATAAATGTTAAAAAAGAAAAAGAAAAAAAGAAAAGCAACATGTAAGCCAAACCTTTGTTATTCCTTTAATTCTTTCCCCTTTCCCTCATACAATCTCTTAAAGAATCTGGTTTTGATCTCAAATTTGGATGAGTTGTAAACCTATTGTAGATGAATCACCTAGTCTAGGCTAAGAGTATTAATTGCATAAATTAAGATAAGATAGGATGAAGGAGATAGAATTTGAGGTGAGGAAGAGAAGGGAGAATAGGAAGAAGAGAAGAAAAAAATCAATAAGGTGAGTCAATTTCGAAAATTTTGGTTCTTACTTTGTGGTTGTGCGATTTTCGTCTCTTAAAGAATAATTTGAGTTATGTGAGTGTTAAGAAAATTGAATTGGAAGATGTTGAATTTTTATTTTTGGGTTGGGTGGACAGAGCAATTTTTCAAGTGTGGGTGTTGTTGATTTTGGTTCCATTTTGAGTTTTTGATGAGTTCTACGATATGTATGAAGTTTAGAAGAGTTTTGGAAGCCTTAGGAACAATATGGGGGTGTTAGAATGGTTGAAAACAACTTTGAAACAAATCTGGAAAATGTCATTTTCGAAAAAATTTCAGCTCGCGAGCCTCACTTTGGCTCTCTTTTTCTCATAATACTTTGAGTGTTTGAGGAAGTCAATTGTTGGGTTTTAAACTAGACATGGCAAGGAACAAAAAACAATTGGTTTCGTCAAATTTGGTTGAGTTTTGATAGGTCAAACACATGTGCAAAGTTTGGAAAAAAATCTGTTTTCTGCAGAAAACCAGCCACGATCCCAACTTTGGAGCTGGTTTTCTCCATCGTTTTAGCTTCGTTTTCAGTGTGGTTTGTTGAGTTAGAAATTAGAGATATTAAGCTTCAAAACCACTACAAGTTTGCCCATTTTCGTTAACTTTTGGTCGGTCAAAATGCTTCACAAAATCTGGGATTTAATCTGGAAAACAGGGGAAGTTGCAGGATTTTTTTTAAAACGATAAACAGTAACCGGAAACAAGCCCACTCGTGGCTTCAGCAAGTGGCGGCCCGTGGCGGCTGTTCTGACAGCCTCCAACGCCATATTTTTTGTCCATCCGACTCGATTTCTTGATCCGAGTCCAATGGTGTAGGTTTTGGGTCGTTTTGAGGGTTTTAGCTTGGAGAGTGGAGTGCACTCTCTATGTTAAGAGAAAAAGTGTTTTTATAAAAATTTCTAACATCATATATGCTATTTATTTTTCAAATCTAGGAACGGGAGAGAACCCGGCAACCTCTTAAGGGTAATTTCGTCATTTTAGCTTATTAGACACGAGGTAGGGTATCTAACTTTTTCCCCAATGATTAGACTATATCACTTTTAATCTTAGCGTTTATATATAGTACTAAACATGAATATTTTGTTGTTTTGCTTGGTGGATATTGTTTGGTGAATACTATTGTTTTGTTTTATGAATGTTTATTGAGTATTATGTGATGTTAGATGAATATTAGTATATTACTATCCATGTGATTAAATTTGAAATATTATGATTTTATTTGAATTATTATCATTTTGCAAAGATTAATGAACGTTTGAGCTGCATTACATATGGATCATAAATACAATTGTGCTGGGTTTGTGTGTAGTTTAAGGTATATCTAAGGGGTAGGGGAAGACTTTAGATATATCTGAGTAAAAAAAATGTGGAATATATTCAGGTGACGAGAGTAGGGCTTGAATATATTGAGGTGATGGGAGCAGGGCCTCTAATGAAAAGTGAAAGTTGAGAAATTCGTAAACAAAATAAACATGGGGTAAGGGATAGATGGGCACTACTTCATAGTTTAGGATATTCGGAGCCATAGTGGTAAAATACATGGTATGAGACATGTAGGCTTGATGCCTTAAAGTATGAATTAGTGGGTTTAGAAGTGTTGGCACTAAAAACTGAACAGGTAGAGATGAGTGCAACTTACAAGTGATGTGGACGATCTAGAGATCGATTGAGTGCTTGACGCAGGTTCTTCCTGTCCTTGGATGCTGATCCTGAATAGAAGGAAGCCGAGGCACGTGAGGTCTACGGAACTGGTGTGGAACCAGCCTAAGACCCTCTGATGCCGAAGTAAGTTTGTTTCTAAGAGCTTTTGCTATTGACAATGTATTTAGCATAAAAGTCAAGCTGAAAAGTCTTACCCTTGTATTGTAGTGAAGGGGCCTATTTATAAAAGGCATTTGGTATGCTCTTAATACTTAATTTCGATGTGGGACTCGTGGGAGGGCCCTATGAGGTTGACACGAGTCTTTAGATATTTCGAGCGGGCCCTTCGAGGTTGATTCTGCAGAATCGGTAGAGGGTACCGATTGTGGACTCTGCTAGGCGGTGTCGACCGTTCGCTGCCTTGGGGTAATATCATCGGTAGCCGATACCGTTTGTTCGCAGCCTTGGGCAGTTGGGGAGTTTCACTAATCCACATGTCACTGAATGAGTGGAGGGTCAGATATGGTACAAACAAGAAGGGAGTGAGTTCATGACGTCATCACATATGCATAGCACATTTATCTAGTAATTGTTTAATGCATGTCACTTTGATTAGGGGTGATACCTGGCTTTGAGGGGGGGGGGGGATGTTACAGTACCCTACTGGGTATTAAAATGCTCACACCCTAATAGATGATGCAGGTCCCAATGCAAATCCTGAGAAAGGAGAAGTTTCACCGGAGGACTAGATCAGTGTTGTTAGTTACTGTTTGTAAATTATTAAGGAATAAATTATTGGAATATTACTCTAGTGTGTGTAACAAACTTTGAGTTACTGCGACTCTGACTTTGTATTTATTAAATAAGTTTGTAATATTGTTGACTCTACTTTATCATAACATAGTTATAGAAGCTTCTTTCTATAAATATGGTATGATTCATGCCTTAATTTGGAGATAATTCCTATTTTCGAATCGGGGCGTGACAGCTGGAATGAAGAGCAACAAAGTAACAAGGCAGCACGATCTATTTTTCTTTTTAATGATCTAGCCAAAACAAAATTAATATATTTTAAAATCACTATGTGCACTACATGTATTTTAGTTTTTGTTCTATTAAAGACCACAACATGTTGCAGCTTTAGTTTGAGGGTAGAGTGGTCATTAAAGCATACTAGAATATTTTGTTAGTTCATATATACGTTACAATATTGTAAATCCAATTAATCAATATATTCAAAACATGAATGTGCATCATGTAAGTCCTTCAAAAACAAAAACAAAAACAAAAAATTCATCAGTAATCTTTTTCAATTAATAAGAAAATATTGTTTCTTTCATAAATTATGAATAATAACAGTATCATTTGAATTATACGGTGGTTTTTGTATAAAAAAATTCAAAATTTTTAAAGTAAATTTTTTTTTTTTGGGTGTGTGGAGTTGTTAGCCTTTTAAATGTTGCCCCTCCTCTTAACAATTTTTGGCAAGTAGCTTCTGTGTAGGGATGGGCATCTCATCCGAATTATCCGCATACCGACCGTATCGTACCAACGGTTTGGTTTGATTTAATTAAATAATTATTTTTTAATTTTACTTATTCCGATCCGATCCGTACTGAAACGTTTGGTTTGGTTAACAAGTAACAATATGATATTGGTTCGTCATCCGCATCCGTATCCACATCCGCATCCGCATCTGCATCAACACCTTTACCCAATTTACCCATCCCTCAAACACCAACTCAAAATACACCTCATGCCTAAACACCACCTTAACCTAGTGGTTTTCCACCATTACCTCATTCCGGCCCAAGAAGAGAAAAATCGGAAGTATGAGATCACTTTAAGAGATATGAAGATGTGGTTGAGAGTGTGAAAGAGGATAAGAGCAAATATGCAACCACTAAGAAGAGAGCTAGGTGCAAGTATTGCACTATGAGCTATGCGGCAGACTTTACTAGAAATGAGACCTCAAATTTGAGGAAGCATATTGAAAACTTATGTAAGAAATATCCGGGGAGGGTTCCTAAAGATAAACGGCAAAAGCTCTTGTCTTTTGACCAAGAACATGGGGTTCTTAC